TTTGGAGGTCCTGGAGCACTAGGACAGTAGAAACCTCCACAAAATGACCACATTTTAGAGAGTAATCACTTCAAGGTATTTTAAGAGGTATAGTTAATCTTTTGAAGACTTAATTTTAATTGCCACTAGTATTTGAAAAATCTGGAAATAAAATTAAAAATTTCATCCCAAAACACATTTTACTACTCCTCCCGTGTATGGTGATATCACATGTGAGACTTTTTCACTTTCTGTACTCATTGTTATATACACTGTATCTTGTATATCACACAAATCGACCAATTGTGTCAAAGCCAGTGTTTCGAAACGGTCACCTCTATACAAGTGGTCAGGGAATATACTGTAGTGTAACGTCACCTATAGCAGTCCCATTTACTACTGGTAGCTTACTGGTACATGACTGCCCCCAGGAATGCCATGTTCACTGGCCTGATGTCATGCAGGAACATCGGGATGTGCAGATGGTTCAGTTCAGGCCTCAGTCAGAGATATGGTCAGCAAACAGGCAAAGGATCAGTCCAGGAAGCAGTAGAAATTTGGTCAATAAACAGGCCAGGGTTAGTGCAGGCAGAGGCAACACTGCATTGGTGTGGCAGTGATCAGAGACATTATAGCTGGTGTGCTGGTGATTAGGGGCACTGTGACTGGTGTGCCGGTGATTAGGGGCACTGTGACTGGTGTGCCGGCCGTGATTAAGGATACTGGCTGGCAACACTGGTCTGGTGACCTTGCACTGTTGTGCCAGATACCAGAGATAATGGCTGATGGCACTGATATATAGTGATATCAGAGCATTCAGGCTTTGCACATGGCCACAGCAGTACAATGTCACTTGCAGTGGTGACGGTATGTACAAAAAATAAATATATATATTTATTTTTTTCCTTTATGTAAGGAGGCTCCTGATGATTTAAGGGTGACTCCTGATGTAAAGGGCCACTGCTGATGTGAAGGGATGACCTCTCATGTAAAGGGAGACTCCTGAAGCAAAAGGGGGTTCCTGATTGAAATGGCCACTGCTGATGTGAAGGGAAACTCTGATTTTAAAGGAGGACTCCTGATGCTAAGTAGGGACCTCCAGATGTCAGGGGGACACCTGATTTGAAGAGTGGACCGTGAAGAATGGGGGACTTCTGCTGTGAAGGAGAACTCCTGATGTGAACTTGGGACACTGATATAAAGGGGCACTAATTATACCTCAGCCCCTGACTGTATCTGAGTGGCATGACAGAACTATTTTTTTTAAAGAGGAGCTCCAGTCATAATTTCTGAAAATTAAGTCATCAGGTACAAAAACTGTAGTTGCAGACTTTTAATCTTTAATAAACAGGCATTCACCTGTTCCGGGATCCAGTGCTGTGCTCACCGGAGCCATTTTCTGACAGGTCCCCAAGCATCTTAAGTGTGGGCACCCGGCTGTGGCAGCTTGTGGCTTCTCAGCCAGCTGCGCATGCAGTTGTAAGTGAGCCCACAGTCTTGTGAGACCTGTGATGTGTCCCAGAAGATTGCAGGGAGGTGGGGTGGGGAGAGAACAGACTTCCCACCTGTTAGCAAGGTGTCTCATAACACAGTGGAAGCAAAAGAATTTTACTTCACTTCGACTTCCAATGCGAAACGTCATCACTTTCACACCTGCAATTCATGTAGTGTTTTTCCATTTTTTTTTTCTAACCCCTGTACCTCTGCAATTATTTCCCCTGCTCTGCCTTTTTTATGTGAGAAGATTTCATAAGCATTTTCCAGATGGGAAGAAATATTTTACTTTCCCTTTTGATTTTGTTTTTCTTGGTAATAAAAAATTCTGTTTTCTACACAATACCTACTCTTCATCTTGTAGACTGTAACACTGCCTGAGAGAAACGGTGAAGTGCAGTTTACTAGAATTGAATGTTATATTAGTCACATTACGGGGTGCGTGGGAAATGATGGACGAGATAGAGGTAGCAGATTTGGTCCCTGAAAACACAGAGCCCTAAACGCGAGTGTAACGATTGTGTGCAATAGGAACATGGAACCTGTACACGGCAACCGTTTTTGTTTTTCATGAGCAATGATCTTCCTCCCCATCTCCTACAACCTGTAATTTGTAGCTATAACTTTTAGGCTCCATGCACACTGGGCATTTTAATAACACTGGTAATCTTAGCTGTGTAAAGTCATGGTAAAAACGTTAGTTTTTCAGCATTTTTGCATTAGCGTTAAACAACGTTTTGCCACGTTTTTTCACGTTTGCAGTTTTTACTGTGTTTTTTTTTTATCAAAAAAAATATTGTTGCTCAAAAAAAGTCAAACGCTGGTTTGCTGCAATTTGCTGCGTTTTTCTGAATTAGAGCATTTTTTACAGCTAAAAAACTCCTCTAGAAATGCACTAGTTCTGGGGTTTTTTTCCAGCCAAAAAAACGCTGATTACAGTCTGTGTGCATGGACACATATGATAACATGCTGGGGAGTTTACTGGCTGTAGAAAAAACAAACAGCAGCTGTAAAAATGTTGTGTGCATGAGTACTTAATGAACTTTAAAAGAGCCTCTTATCCTAATTAAAACACAATAGGCACCAGAGCCTAGGCCTGACTGCAAGCTGTAAACAACTAATTAGTTTTGACAGGATGTCTGTTTCCTCTGCCCTATCATAAAGCAATAACTCTGTCAAGCAGTCACACATGACCTGTAAGGCCATTGAGGCTCTGAGAATGCAGTGTGCCATAAAACATCTATTCAACATACAATTCATAGAATTCAACAGGAACAGGGCACATTAATATTAGGTATATATTTGAATACGGAATATCGTACCGAACAAATCAAGGTCATACATGACTATGTTAGCACATAGGAAAGGGGAGAAAGCAGTCTCCTCCCTTCTGGGTGACAAAGGTACGCTGTATTTGGTATCCTTGGGTTCAAAATATAATTCTGAATAATAATCTGCCAGTTGTTAGAATACAACCTGCACATATTGGAAGTTGTTAATATTAGTATGAAACTGTAGTTGGGACTTGGTCATAAATTTGGTGACCTACTAGCACCCATCCCCTAAATGGATGATTGGTCAGTTGTTCTCGGGCAACACCACTTTGATATCATAGAAAGAGACTGACTGGATCTAGTAAGAGAGCTCTCGTTTAACATCAACCAAAGAACATCTTAATGGACTTGAGAGCCAAGACAATGTTTTTGCTTGAAAAATTGGCTAAAACCAAGGACTTTGCAAGTATTCTGCCTTCTTATCTCTCTGTTGCATTATTGTTCTTTTTATGTCTTGGTAACATCCTTTTCTGTAAATATTTTATCATTGCACCATAAACCCTATTTTGAAAAGTGTTAAAACTATCTCCAAAGGATTATTATATACAGTAGCACTCTTCCAGAGACAGGGATTCTTTAGTTTGCATTAAAAGCTTTAAATATACCTGTCTGTGGTGACAGTGTGTGCTTGTTTGACGTTTTATTCACATTTGTTCTTTGCTAACATTGTGAAGGGTTGATAGTCCCAAAGCTATCTGGTGGCAGTTTAGAGTTTGAAGGGTTAATTGCGTAATTAACCCAGTGACAATCGCTCTCAGGCTGCTGACACATAGATTGTAGTCCCGCGAGCTGGAAAATCTCTGTGCAGGGTACAGCTAAAAGTGGCCTTGTTACGCAAGTGACAGCACGGTGTGAGATTGACTGGGCCTTCGTCATGAGTTGGTGAGAAGGGCTGGGGTCAGGCAACGCGTTCGTCACAGTGAGTCCCATTTGGTACAGCGGTCAGTTCTGTCTAATCCCATCTTACTTCGGTATGAAGTACATTGACAGGCTTCAGACAGTGGGAATGCTCGCTTCACCTGTGCCTCCTTGGCCCACCAAAATGCTGGTATTGGATGCTAAACACCTAGTGTGCATATGGCCTAAGGATAATGTGTACAGCAGGCAGTTAAAAAGGTTTAAGCATGATGTAAAGGTAAAGCCATTCTCAAAGTTCCCCTAACTTAACCAGATTTACAGTACATTAAATTAAAGCAATTGTAAAGTTTGTATTTTTTTCTTAATGTTTAAATAATAAACATGTTTACGTACCTGGTCTATGAAATTTAATTGAACACAGCGGCCCAGATTCTCCTATTGTTCAGTACCCTGCCAGCCCACTCCCCTTCTACATGTCTGCCATCATAGCAAGCTGCTTGCTATGGGAGCAGAGATATGTGGGTTCACTGGAGTGGGGCTGTCTGCTTCCACAGATACACACAGTGCTGCTCAACCCCTGTCCCCTATTCTCTGCTTATGGGATTTGATTGACAGCAACAGGAACCAATGGCTTCCACTGTTGCTTTTCTGTCCTGTGAATGCAGGGAGAGAGAAGAGAGAGCAATTACAGATGAGCAGAGTGCTGAATCTAGTGAAGACTTGTAAGTATTTGGGGAGTTAAAGGGTGATACTGCTACTGGGACATTTGTTACCTTAATGCCAGGAATGCATTACGGATAAAAAATGTCCTGGCTTTAGAACCACTTTAACATATCTTAAATCCAGGAGTCTTCTAGCTTGGTTGTGTGTTGAGTTGGGCCCTTCCTTGTTACTGCTGCACAAAATAGTACCCATAGAGAGAGTGTCATTCCACGCATTAGTATCGTAAGCCCAGGGCCTCATCAATTTGTTTTACAAAGTGAATTGAGCTTGAATGAATCTTTTGGCTCCCCTTTGATGTTGAAACAAACCATAATAGGAGTCCTGGTTGTCACTTTAAAAATAAAGTTGCTACCAGGCTACAACATGCTTTCAGCTCATGTTGAATAGTTCTAAACTTGCTGAAGTATCATCTTGTTTAAAGTAATGGCCAGCACCCACATTGAGATGTATTTCAAATTCTTAAATTAGCTCTTGGAAATGTGCTTTCCAATTGCTTGGTAGAATCTTGCTGTACGCACTGACTTTTTGAAGGCTGAAGGCCATGTGTGCCAAATCGCAACAAAAAAATTGCTTCATTTAATTTGTGCAATATGTTTTTTTTCTTTTCCGCAGGCTTATGCATCTGGGTGTGACGTGGTGATTCTCGGAAGTGATTTTGAGAGGCTACAAGTGATCCCTGGAGTTCAGCATGGAAATGTTCTGGTTGGCTGCGTGGACTGTTCTATGCAACAGGGCAGGGTAGGAATGTTCCATATTGCTGTTATCTGTTGCATGATTTTACATTATTTAATACAATTGAGTAAATCCAAGATATGCCACATAACACAAGCTGTGACCAGTTATAAGTATCCTTTGTGGAAAATTGTAAACTTATTGGTACAGTCCAGGGGCGGACTGACAACTCATGGGGCCCCTGTGTCCTTGCCCAAACTCAAAAAAGCCTATGAAAAAGGTACCAGGGGCATCTCATGGGGCCCCCTACTGACCCCGGGCCGAGTTTCCAAATGGTCAGTCCGCCCCTGGTACAGTCTGTTTTGGAATAGTAGATCATTTTGAGCCATTTTGTATAGATGTCTTTATTTACTCTTTATCTGATACTGTGTTTCCGCATTGCTCACATGATCATGCTTCTGAACTGACCTCAAAGCATTTCCACAGTGTGAAAACCAGCAATCATTTCTTTACGAAACAGTTAACACCCAATGGGTACTCATTTCTCTGACATAAAACCTAGAAAAACAAAATAAATTAAGAGTTAGTCAACTTGCTTAGCAGCTCATAGTTGGCAATGGTCAGAAACATTAACAATAAGATCCCTAGTACTCATAGGGAGCGATTATAACTGTGGTTGGGGGCCTCCCCCCTTAAGTTGCAGTGGCAGTGGACGGTGTTGTTTAAATGCCTCAGTTGCATTTCTTCGTGCCCACTGCAAAAATTATCCTGACATGTCACACTTCACGGGCAACAAGCCTACCAAATGCTATTCAAGCAAATGAGGAAGTACTGCAAATGCCCTACAACTGCGTGCAATGCATGCGTTTGTGTTGCATTTGTAGGATTATAGGACTAAAGCAGAACTCCAGGAAAATATTTTTTGGCTTGTGCAGTAGGTCAAATGCTCATTTTGTTCTAGGGGAGAGGACACCAGAAGATATACTCACCTGACCCTTCGATCCTCCCTGCACAAGACCAGTCCTTTCAGCAATCGAAAAAAAAAAAATATTTTAGAGACATGTCCCTAATGCCTAGTGTTGCCTTCCCTGCACTGTTTTAGAGAAGCCAGACGTATATCCTATACTCCACATATGAGAACAGTTTCGGAGGATGGTTTTCTTCCTAAGTATAAAATCCACTACCTTATTGCCAATCTCTGTGTATAGCACCTTGCCCTTGTCTGCTTCGAAGATAGTTGGGATGAATTTAATTAGCTTCTGCAGAGTCTGAGTACAAAAGTGAGCCATGCTCCCTTTTCACTTCCTCACTGGCTGCGTGAACCTGTTTTGCTTATTTTAAATTAACCAAAATAAAACCTTAGGTACACGCTGTATCATGCCCAGCCATCTTTTCCAGCAGTGACTCCAGAACGCCACTCGAACTGTGCATTGGCATGGCATCTTCTAGGTGAAATGGGAAAGAGATGGTATGTGAACTGATTCATGACATTTCATACTGTTTGAATATGTGAGAAAAGAAATGTGACAGTATAATGGAACCTCACACTTTGTCTCAGGGTGGATTTGATTTAAATCAAACTGATTTAAATCACGATTTAAATCACTAGTCAGTAAGGCTTGATTTAAATCCTAGTTTTCTACATAGACTAATTCTTGCTGGTATAACTTTAATATGCAAGTAGATGAAGATTTTTAGAATAACTTTTCATATTAGTTTTTTTATCCCCAGTTTAATAGGTTAATCATTCATATTTGGACAACTTTTCTGTTGTATTTAGGAAGGAGAAAAATAATCATTACCTTAATAATAACAATTTAAATAGATTTATTCATCTGAAACAATAACATTCCAGCATATGTTATTTGCTTAAACAAACATCCATGTTTGTTAACTAATTTGGCTAAACAAAATATATATATTTTAAGAAACTTAGACTGTCAGCCCCTTCCTCCTCACACTTAGTTTCACTTTCTTCTTGTGCAGATCTATTCTACTCCAAACAATCAGAAAAATATTGTTTCTATTCTATTCACTGAACTTCTTGAAATTTAGCACTGAAGGGGTTTATTCTGTATTCATAGGTTTGTAGAAGTTAGGATTAAGATCTTTTTCTTAACTCTGTTCATGTTATAACATTTTTGCTGTGAAGAAGAGGCATGTGATCTCCGCTGAGTCAAATTCAGTTTTGAGAACTGCAAAAGTAAACCAAGCATCTGTGATAATATCTTGTAGGCAGAGAAACTGCCCAATAATCGTACAAAAACCTCTGGAAGAGCATGACATTATGAATGGATTAATGGAATTTATTTTTACCAAAAAAATTAAACATATACAGCCTTATTCTACATAATTAAAAAAAACGAATCTTTATTTCATGATGGAATAACCTTTGGATGGTAATATATTTTCCTCCAAAAGCATTTTATTCAAAAAAATCAGATTTAAATAAAAAAAAAATCCGATTTAAATAAAAAAAATCAGATTTTTTTTTTTTTTTTTTTTTTTTATCATTGATTTTTATCCACCCTGCTTTGTCTGCTATTTTACTGTTCCAAGCACTGGCCTGTGTTCCCTTTCAAAAAATCATAGCCCACCTCTGTGGCAAATTCTTAAGAGTGAGTTTGCAGGTTAGGAGGGGTCCTAAAAAAAATGGTCAGCACCATTCACACAACTTACTTTTTTTTTTTTTTTTTTTAAATCTTAACACTTTCTGTGCATTTGTGACACTTGTTTTGATATGCTTTGCTGCATTATAACCCCAACAAGGTTTTTCTGCATGTGCGTTGAAGCGGATGCAGCGCAGTGTACCCTCAGTTTTTGTGCTGATTACCAGTGTTGTCTTATATACTTTTATTAGACTGGGGATTTTTAGTGCATTTTCTGAAAGCACACCAAAGAAAAAGCATGCAGGACTTTTGGTGTGCTTTCAGAAAATACACCAAAAACACCCAATCTAATAGACGCCTATAGCTTGTGTAACCTGCACGAAAACAGAGGAAACACTGCTCAGCACCCGTGCTGCAGCCAAACCACAGTGTGGCACTATGAAAGTGCTCTTGTAGTGTTTAAAATGTGAAAAATGTATGTATCTTAATAGTATAGTACAGAACGTTTTATTCTTCGACCATGGTCACCCACTCTGAGGCTTCAGTTTTCTCTGTCCAGTGCCTTTAAGGTGATTTTAAGTGCTTTGTGTAATGGTTTTTCAAAGAACAGTCCCAATCCTCTGGTCCCCCACCGGCTGTCCTGGCGCGCGCGCACGCACACACGCGCACACACACCAAAAAATTAAAGGAACACTTTTTAATCAGAGTATAGCATCAAGTCAATTAAACTCCTGGGATATTGATCTGGTCAGTTAAGTAGCAGAGGGAGTTGTTCACCTGCTTTTGGGTTAATGAAATTAGTAACAGATGGGCAACAATGAGATGACCCCCAAAACAGGAATGGTTTTTACAGGTGGAGGCCACTGATATTTTTCCTATTCATCTTTTCTGTTTTTTACTAGTTTTGCATTTGGCTAGGGTCAGTGTCACTACTGGTAGCATGAGGTGATACTTGGACCTTACAGAGGTTGCACAGGCAGTCCAACTCCTTCAGGATGGCACATCAATACGTGCCATTGCCAGAAAGTTTGCTGTGTCTCCCAGCACAGTCTCAAGAGCATGGAGGAGATTCCAGGAGACAGACAGTTACTCTAGGAGGGCCGTAGAAGGTCTTTAACCCATCAGCAGGACCAGTATCTGCATCGTGCAAGGAGGAACAGGATGAGCACTGCCAGAGCCCTGCATAATAACCTCCAGCTGGCCACTGATGTAAATGTCTCTGACCAAACAATCAGAAACAGACTTCGAGGGTGACCAAAGGGCCCAATGTCCTCTAATGGGCCCTGTTCTAACTTCCCAGTACCATTGAGCTTGATTTGGCATTTGCCACTGAACACCAGAATTGGCAGGTCCGCCACTGGCATCCTGTGCGTTTCACAGATGAGAGCAGGTTCACCCTGAGCACATGTGACAAACGTGAAAAGGTCTGGAGAAGCCGTGGAAAACATTATGCTGCCTGTAACATCGTTCAGCATGACCTTTTTGGTGGTGGCTCAGTGATGGTGAGGGGAGCCATATCCATGGAGGGATGCACAGGCCTCTACAGACTAGATAATGGCACCCTGACTGCCATTAGGTATTGGGATGAAATCCTTGGACTCATTGTCAGACCCTACTCTAGTGCAATGGGTCCTGGGTTTCTCCTGGTGCTCAACAATGCCTGGCCTCATGTGGTGAGCGTATGCAGGCAGTTCCTGGAGGATGAAAGCATTGATACCATTGAATGGCCCCCACGCTTGCCTGACCTAAATCTAATAGAACACCTCTGGGATATCATGTTTCAGTCCATTCAACGCTGCCAGGTTGCATCTCAGACTCTCCAGGAGCTCAGTGATGCCCTGGTCCAGGCCTGGGAGGAAATACCCCAGGACACCAAGCATTGTCTCATTAGGAGCATGTCCCGACGTTGTCAGGCATGCATACAAGCAAGTGTAGGCCATACAAACTACTGAGTACAATTCTGAGTTGCTGCATTAAAATTTCAGCAAAATGGACTAGCCTGCTGCATCAATTTTTCACTTTGATTTTCAGGGTGTCTTTGAATTCATTCAGTCCTCCTGTAGGTTGATAATTTTAATTTCCATCAAACGATGGGGCATCCTTGCATTCCTAACATATTACCTAATCCATATCTGTATAGATATCCAGCATGATATTTTTCCCCATTGAGATCTGATGTGTTTTCATAGTGTCCCTTTAATTTTTTTCAGCAGTGTATGTTAAAATGGAGTTATCCATTAAAGAATCTGAAAGTGCAGAAACATACAAGCGTATCTGCCCAATTTCTGTTTATTTCATTAGCAGATACATTAATATATAACAAAATGTAGCAATACATTGACTGTGGTACACTTAAACTCCTGACATTGGTGAAACATTTGTGAACTTAATGGGACATTTTAATGTCTGAATGAAACAGCATAATGAAACATGAGACAGAAAGGAGAGAAAATAGAATAAGTAAGAGAAAATGTTTGGATAATCCAAAAGAGGCATAATTTGTTGCCTCAAAGGAGACAATGAATATATGCAGTACAGTTCCCCTAGGTCTTTATATTAAATTTACCTTAGTGGGACCTTCTCAGAAAATAAATATTAAATGGAAAACAACTTATTTTAAAATCAACTAATATGTGAATATCAAACACACTGTTAAGCTGGAAGCCAAAATGTGATTGATATTATGCTTATCAATCAATAGAAAAAAAAAATCTTAAATATAAACTATACAGTATATGTAATCAGATGGCATAAAGTAATAATGAATAAAACATTTTATTTTCAAATGTAAAGTAGACTTACAGCAAAACACAACATCCTTCTTCCCCCACGTTGTTAAACTCAGATATGTTAAGATATGTTTATTTTTTTTGAGTAGTGTACATGCACATGCTTATGTTGAAGATAAATATGGAAGTGGTTTGTTTAGCTAATAGAACCACTGTAAACTGGTCATAGATCAAAATTCTGCCAGTTCAGCAGGGACAATCAGTGTGTGGTCATCCCTGCTCAACATAAGTTGATCAGATTACATGATAGAAAACTTCTGTTGATCAGTGGCTGCAGCCGCTGCTCAGTGAATTCTGACAGCGGCGTCCTGCCGATAAAGTAAAATGTCACAGTGGGTGGGGGCGAGGGGAATCCTTCATCCACCTTGTTTGTGTAGATACAGAAATCTGATCGGAAAAAAAAAATACTGGTCTATGGCCAGCTTAACAGAAAAGTTGTCTATCTTGTTAAATGTTGGCAGAAAACATCTGAGTGGCCTCATGCTGACTTCTTGACTTTGTTTCTAGATTGCGGCTTCCTATGGCAATGTGATTTGCATCTTTGAACCTGTGAATCTGTTGAAACAAAAAAGCTCACAGTTACAAGTAAGCATTTCATACTCCATGTTTCTATATTCATTGTCTTTAAGATCTTGTAAGTGAATATCAACAGTTCTGATTATTTTAGAAGCGTTACCTTGATATATAGGTAGAACAGCAATAGTAATACCACAGGGAAAGTAGTTTTGTTTAGTAACTGGCTATAGGTGAGTAATAAACTGAAGGGCATGGTCCTCACTTTCCATGGTTTCAAACAGCCAAAGCTACTCTTGCAGTGGGTGTAAACGATTTACCAACTAAGGGCTGGTTCACACTAGGAATTTCACAGGAAAGCGCCACACATTCCTGTGCGATGCATTTTTAGGCCATTCATTTTGAATGGGCTCAAAACGCACTGCACCGCACCAAAAGTACTACATTTGGAAATGCACTGCAACCAGTTCGTATGGATCAATTTTGATGGCTGATCCCTAAGATTAATGGTACCTGAGCCTCGTGTGGAAGGAGTCAACAAGGTTTTGCCTGTAATGTGACCTTTTTGGCGCTGGACCCTGCGTTAAAGAACTATGTGCATTTTCTAAACAACCAAGGCATTTCTGGCAGGGTGCTGTATGGGTCCAAGGGGGTGAACCCCCATGACTTAGGGGGGACCCAGTCCTTGAAGGTCCTCAGGTGACATGGCCCGCCATGATGAGTGAAGATTGGGTCTCTGGTTATTGACAGAACCATGTGGCAGGATTGTTAAGTGGGACTCCCTGGTTTTCTCAAAAAAGAAAAAAAAAAAAAAAGGGAGAAAGATGTATTTTAAATACATTCTTTGAGGGGCATTGTCATTGTTGACCATATACACTATATTGCCAAAAGTATTGGGACGCCTGCCTTTACACGCACATGAACTTTAATGGCATCACAGTCTTAGTCTGTAGGGTTCAATATTGCGTTGGCCCACCCTTTGCAGCTACAACAGCTTCAACTCTTCTGGAAAGGCTGTCCACAAGGCTTAGGAGTGTGTCTATGGGAACGTTTGACCATTCTTCTAGGAGCGCGTTTGTCTGGTCAGGCACTAATGTCGGATGAGGTTCTGGCTCGCAGTCTCTGCTCAAATTCATCCCAAAGGTGTTCTGTTGGGTTGAGGTCAGGACTCTGTGCAGGCCAGTCACGTTCCTCCACCCCCCAAACTTTCTCATTCATGTCTTTATGGACCTTGCTTTGTGCACTGGTGTGCAGTCATGTTGGAACAGGAAGGGGCCATCCCCAAACCATTCCCACGAAGTTGAGAGCATGAAATTGTCCAAAATGTCTTGGTATGTTGATGCCTTCAGTTCAGTTCCCTTTACTGGAACTAAAGGGCCAAGCCCAACCCCTGAAAAACAGTCCCACACCATAATCCCCCCTTCACCAAACTTTACACTTGGCACAAAGCAGTCAGGCAAGTACTGTTCTCCTGGCAACCGCCAAACCCAGACACATCCATCAGATTGCCAGACAGAGAAGTATGATTCGTCACTCCAGACAACACGTCTCCACTGCTCTAGAGTCTAGTGGCAGTGTGCTTTACACCACTGCATCCAGTGCATTGCATTGCACTTGGTGATGTAAGGCTTGGATGCAGCTGCTCGGCCATGGAAACCCATTTCATGAAATCTCTACAAACTGTTTTGTGCTAATCTGAAGGCCACATGAAGTTTGGATGTCTTTAGCTATTGACGCTGCAGACGGTGACTTCTGTGCGCTTCAGCATGCGCTGACCCCGCTCTGTCACTTTATGTAGCCTACCACTTCGTGGCTGAGTTGCTGCTGTTCCCAGTTGCTTCCACTTTGTTATAATACCATTAACAGTTGATCGTGGAATATTTAGTAGCAAGGAAATTTCACGGATGGACTCATTGCACAGGTGGCAACCTATCACGGTACCATACATAAATTCATTGAGTTCCTGAGAGCGACCCGTTCTTTCACAAATGTTTGTAGAAGCAGTCTGCATGCCTAGGTGCTTGATTTTATACACCTGTGGCCATGGAGGTGATTGGAACTCCTGAATCCTGAATTTGGAGGGGTGTCCCAATACATTTGGCAATATAGTGTATGTGTATTACAATCACCACTTTTCTTCTATGCAGTCACAGCGGTAACACTTATGAAAAGCCAGTTAACCACAGCCTCTGTGTCCTATGTTATATGGCCACTAGGGCCATCGGGGCTCTTTGTATGACCATCTTACATGGTCTGTGTGTGCTGATTCCATCTGGTGAAGATGGACAAACAGTTAATCCATGAGGCGGTCTTCCTGATTTTTTTAGGCCGCTTTCCGAAGCACAGGGCGCGTGTGGTCCTCACAGTAGGGCCCAGAAGCCACGGGCAGCCATGTTACTTAGGGAAGCAGTGCTCCATGTGGATCTCCTGTTTAGCTGTGGCAAGAGACACACAGCAGGCTATCCATTCAGGCCCGTGAGTCCTTTGGGTGTTGTGTAGTACAGTCTGCCAATATGTACTGGATTAAGTGTTATATCTTGTTATTTAAGCTGTGATAGTTGCTGCTTGGTGGATTACAGTTGCATAGTAAGATGCTGTGCTGGTAGGCTCAGTGTTTTGTTTTGATCACAAGCCCCAGTTGCATTTCAGTACACTTTGAGTAAGCAATGTCTTCCAGAAAGCTGTGTGGGGGAGGTACAGCAGGAAGGGACACATGTGCATCGCAGACAGGTTCTGAGGATTCTAGTTGGGGTTCCCCTGTGATAACTTCTGAAAGACCAGAGGCGGCTGGACAATCTGAGCCACTGTGCTTATCTTGAATTGTGGCTACTGCCAATGCGTTTGTCTCATCCTATGTTACAAAGATGATTTAGCGTGAGCATTGGCTGGCTTAGTGGATAAAATCGCTGGGATGATTGCCTTGGTTATGTAGGCGGGGAAAAAGCAAAAAAAGGTCCCCTTCCCCCTGATCCTCCTGTTTTAGAGATGGAATGGGTTGAGGATGTAGAGGAAGTAGCTGTTGAAGAGTTGGAGGAGGGTCAAGCAGAAGACTCCGCTTCAGGGGAGTCCATGCCTGATGAGGTCCTGGCATGTTCAGCTTCGCCTTGAGAAAGATTGTTGGTACGTGCAAGATTTTAATTGCCTCCATTGGAGGTTGCGGAAGCCTCCTACTCCTCTTTTGGGTTTACTGCGGCCTCTGTAGAATGTTCATACCTTCTAATTGCACCCTCTCTTATAGAAGGTTGTTTATGTTGATTGGGATCATCCAGATAGAATCTTGTCCCTCCCTAGAGGCTTTCCATCTTGTATTATATGGAAGAGAAATTTGATAAGAAATGGAGCATGCCAGTTGTTGATGCTGCTGTCTCCTCTCTGAATAGGAATTGAACCTGTCTAGTAGACAATGCCCAGGTATTTAAAGACCCAGTGGATAAGAAGTTGGAGTAAATACTAAAAGCTTCTTTTGCTCTGGCTGCTTCTGCGGTGCAACCTGCTATAGTGGCAATTGCCGTTTGTCAGTCCCTGCAGTAGTACCATATAAAAAGGTTGGTTAGGAATTTTTCTGTTCAGAGAGAAGTTGCAGAGGAGGAGGTGGCAGATTTACCCTGCACCTTGTGCTTTGCAGTCGATAAAGCACAAGCAGTAGTACACCAGGATAAGGGGGGTGTTGTGCCCTCATCCATCTTTCTTGCTTAAAGTGGTTTCTAGCTTTCATTTGAACCAGAACATTGTCCTACCCTCCTTGTTTACCGAATCCTTGTTCTGCAGCAGAGAGATTCATTCATTCTTTGGATGTAGCAAGAGTCCTGAGGATCTATCTGAAAATGTCAGCACAGATCAGAAGATCCAAATCCTTATTTGTGTTACCGGAAGGGCCCAGGAAAGGGCAAGCAGCATCTAAATCAACTATTTCTCGTTGGATCTGTCCGTTAATCATTCAAGTCTTCGGTTTGGCCTTTTGAGCTAGGGTGCACTCTACCAGAGGTGCAGGAGCCTCATGGGCGGTTTCGTCATTGGCCCAGGTTTGTGAAGCCGCCATTTGGTCTTCTGTACATACATTCACAAGGTTCTACCAGGTGGATGTTAGGGCTGCAGAGGAATGCGGCCTTTGGTCAGTGTTTTTTTTTTTTTTTTTTTTGTTACGAGCGACACAATATGTCTGATGGCGGTTTCTGTGAGTCTCCCTCCCTTCGAGTATTAAAATCCATTTCTTGGAGCACACCACGGGACACATAGGTCCCACCTCTCTTCTGGTATTTCATTGCTTGCTACAAAACTGAGGCGCTTGATGTAGTGGAGGGGTTATATAGGGGGACTACCTGTTTGGTCTGCCAGTATCCATTTACCTATAGGTGGCGCATAACCCAGATAGTAATGATTATAGCCTGCTCTGTGTCCTGTGATGTACTCCACGAAGAGGATTTTACAGGGAAGTATGTAGAAAAAATCCAATTGTCAAATTTTGAGAAAACCCCACCATATGTTTTGTTTTCTGTTCCCCTCCACACAGAATACAAAAAAAATCCAAAAACCTATTTCTTAAATTTTAGGCCTCATGCACACTGACATTTTTTTTTAAACTCCCCTAGAAACCTCCTCCTGGCAGTAGCTTTTTAGCCCAAAACACACCTGACACTTGTAAAAGTGTGTACTGCGTTTACACATTTACCCATGTCAAGCATTTGGGCGTTAGTTAATTTAATTGGCTAGAATAGATAATTTATTCTGGCCACTGAAATAAATGAACGCTCAAGTGCAAACCGCGTCTAGCGTTTGGGCATGTTTAAGAGAATCAAGCATTTTTTCTGCCGAAACACTGCTGCTCCTGGACACACTGGAAGTGTTTTTTTTTTGTTTTTTTTTTTTTTTTGTTTTGCTTTTCTGCCACTAAACTCTCCTGCCACAAAACTCTGCTAAATTGCTAACATGCAGGGGAGTTTAGAGGAAGTAAAAAAAAAAAAGGAAAACGCCTGACGCCCTTAGATGCCCATTGGTGGAGGGCAGTTTGTAAATTTGTAACTGTTTGCTAGAACAGATAGTGTTCAAATTTAGTTTACAGCTGATAATGAAGAACTGCAAACACAGTACAGACAGGGTTATTTATATTAAAAACAGGGTTGCCAACTGTCCATCCATCCGTTTATCCATTATACTATGTTAATGAAAACATGTAACAAATATAAAGTAGGTGTTAACCCAATTTGGCTGCAAAAGTGTACTTACACTTTTCAGCAATAAGGCTCTTATTGCATACTAGACACCCTTTGCTTTTTTATTATTAGTCTTTAGTCTACCCATTGCTATACCTCAGCATGAGTCCTTTAATCTATAAATGATCCTTTTGAACCACGTTAAAAATTATAATTTTTGTTTTCCCTAAAATAAAGATGTTTGTACTTACCTGCTTTGTGTTTCTTTTGCAGTCCCCCACCTGCGCTGTCCTGTGCTCCAAATGCCCCCTTAGCAAGCTGTGTGCTGTGGGAGAACCCATTTGCTTAATTTTAAATTGCATAAATCTACAGCTAAAATAAGATTGTAGCTACAGGTATTCCCAAATCTGGCATTATTCTTTGCTCTTTTTCCCACTTTCCTAAAATTACAAAGCTTTTTGATGGGTGTTCCACTGCAGATACAGAGAAATGTGCAAGATATGTTTGTTTTCTTTGTGTTACAACCTTGATGAATCCACATTTACTTTTTTTTTTAGGGAAGTCGCACACAGTGGCAGAAGAGTGGCCACATAGTATTGGATTCTGTTGCACATAATTTAACTTGGGACCCAGCAGGTAAACAACTATATATTCTAGCTTTGCTTGCCTACCAATTGATTAAAGGACCCTGTAACGGTATTATCGCCAGCGTTATAATGATAACCTCTGTTAGTTTGTACACATGATTGGTAATTACAGAAACTTTTGTAATTGTGTTAGACTGTTGACATCCTTTTGATTCTGTTGCAAAAAAAATAAAAAAAAAAGTACATTTCCTTATTAGTTATAAGATACTGGCATTCCCAAAGGTTACTTCTAATGCAGGCCATAGATGGGTCGAAAATCGGCCGATTTTTTTTCGGCCAAAAATAAAATCGGCTGATTTTCGGATCGTTAGTGGGCTAAATGTTTGGCCGTTTTTCGGTATTTTTGGCAGATTTTTTTTTATCGGTAAAGTTGGAAAAAAATCAGCCGATTTTCACGGCAATGATGGGCAAATCGGCCGATCTTTTACCGATAAAAAAATCTGCGCGCTATGAGCAGTGACCTGCAAGAGGAAGACAAAAAGAAGAAGAGGAGGATGAAGAAGAAGAAGAGGAGGATGAAGAAGAAGAAGAGGAGGATGAAGAAGAAGAAGAGAGAGGATGAAGAAGAAGAGGAGGAGGATGAAGGTGAAGAGGAGGATGAAGGTGAAGAGGATGAGGATGAAGATGAAGAGGAATTCCAGTCTGGCAAAAAGTGTCCCTGCAGACAGCTCCGCTATTTCTTTGACAGTTCCTTGACATTTATAGAGGTTGCAACAATGTATCTATTTGTTTCCGAATAAAACCATCTGTATCCTAAATGGATACAAATAGATACATTGTTGCAACCGCTATAAATGTCAAGGAACTGTCAAAGAAATAGCGGAGCTCTCTGCAGGGACACTTTTTGCCGGCTCTAGACGGGATGAAAATCGGCCGTTTTTTTTTTTTTTTGTTAACCGTTGCTTTAACGACCGATTTTTTTTCGTTTTTTTTAAAGAAAAATCGGCCAATTTTCGACCCATCTATGGCCTGCATAAGTTTGTTTTTTTTTAAAGTCGAAACACAGCACACAGTTGACACTTTGATTGCTCTAGATGTTAACACCTTCCTGCCCAGTGTCATTAGTACAGTGTCAGTGTTTTTTATTAGCATTGATCACTGTATTCGTGTCACTGGGGATGTCAGTGGCAGTCATTTCCCACCCAGTGTCAGAATGCCCGCCGCAGTCCCGATATAAGTCGCTGATCGCCGCCATTACTAGTGTAAAAAAAAAGTATTTATTTAACCGCCTAGACTATAATTTTCATGTAAACCAATTAATTTTTATGTGCTGAGATTTTTTTGGTTTTTTAGCAATGAAATGTAACAGAATAAATTTTGGCCTAACTTTATGAAGAAATTTGATTTTTTTAAAAAATGTTTTATTGGATTGGTTTTATAGCAAAAAGTCAAAAATACTGTTTTTGGGGTGTTTTTTTTTGTTTTTTTTTTTTTAATTGTCTGAATTTTTTATTTTTTGCGCTATAAACAAAAAAGACAGAGGTGATCAAATACCACCAAAAGAAAGCTCTTATTTGTGGGAAAAAGACAAATTTAATTTGTGTACACCGTTGCATGACCGTACAATTTTCAGTTAAAGTAATGCGGCGCCGTATCGCAAAATAAATGGCCTGGTCAGGAAGGGGCGTAAATCCTCTGGAGGGCAGGTGGTTAAAGCAGTATTAAACTCCTTGAAATTATTTTTTTTTAAATGAGCTCTCTGCTGGTTTATGTCATACTGTTTTGGTATGCATGCCATCGCCATGCGAGCACAATATGGAAGACTTACCTGTCAAAGGATGCCCTCCAGCGGTGGGCTGTCAGTGCTCAGGCACTCCCAACTTCTTCCGATCATCCTTCCAATTTCACTCTTTTTAGCCTCTTCAATAACTGGGATGCAATAGCATTGCTCCCATGCATGCGTGGACTCACTTCATTGTAGCACAGAGCAGGTGTGCGTGCTTGGCTCAGTGTACATTACCACTGACAGGAAGGGGGAAGCAATTATAACAGGAGAGCCCATTAGGATCTTTTCTTTTCTGTCATAAAAATTCTGCCTGTCAGCGGTTTTTACATGTTTGAGTTTAATACCACTTTCAATAGTTTATCTCAACCCTCTAACTGCTGCTTTGTCTGGATAGCATCATTGCGCTAGGGTGCACCTCATGATGCAAAAAAAGCCCTTAAAGTTGAGGGACTATGAAAGTATAAAAGCTACAGCCAGGTAATGTTTTCCTCTCCACATCATCTTACCAGCCAGTAACGGCACATGTAGCGTTATCATCTTGATGCATTTTCATCTGGAATTTAAGTATAGGAGATGCCATTGTGGACTTATTTAGGAAAGCTTTAAGCTCTCATTGCTGACATCTGCTACTAAAAGTGTTAGTAGCTTTACTACCATACTGAATAAATGGCTTTAAAGTGGTTGTAAACCCTTACGTATACCCAGTTAAGTGGCTGGCCTCAGCTAACACGTGAAGTTGAAACAGATCCTCCTACATACGTTGCACCTGTATTTGCAGCCCTCGCCTCTCTACAGCCTATTCAAAGTCCAGAATTTCTGAAGCGTATTTGAGCTGTTAGGAGAAAAAAAAAAAAGGGTGGTGGAGAGCTGAAAGTACACTCTGCAGAGCTCTGTGGGGAGAGCTGATCGGAGGGAAGAGACACACTCCTTCGCACGGGAACATAGCTAAGGCTGTCAATCACAGGCTGTGTGCTGGATGTCCTTCCCCTGTAATCCTTTTTTTTTTTTTTTTCCTCTTGATGTCAGGAAAATTGGTCAGAAGGGACTCATGCAGATAGCAGAGGAACAGGGCAGCAGGCAGAAATTAAACTTGGTCCCCTGGATAGAGGCATTTACACACTAAAGAGGGCTATGTAAACTTCCTGTTTGCTTTGAATTCTTCCTGAAATTGTGCAGTGCACTTCTATCATGTAACATTGCCAAGGCACTGCTGTTCATGAAGCTTTCTACTTGCATACCTAGAGTGGAAATCAACGAGGGCATATCCTGTCCACTCCTGCTTCTCATGACTGCTATTCTCCAATAATTTGGGGTGAGATTTTGTGACGTCACTACTCTATTCATTAATCTTCTGGGGAAGAAACTGTAGCTGGGGGACCTGTAGAGTAGTGGAAGCACTCCCCTGCTTTAGCATCATCCATTCTGCCAGTAGTAGATCACCAGTCTAAGGGTGGCAGGTCTAACACTAGAAAGCAAAGCCCTGCGCCTCTGCTAAGATGGCTGCCTCCACACAGAAGCACAGTATGAATGAAGGCATGGTATGTCTCTACTGGGGACAAGGTTAGCTGAAGAAAGTCCAGAGGTAATATTAGTAACAAGCCCTTTGCCCTTGCTTCTTTTGGTTCTGTCTCCACAGTGAAGGTCTTTTTTAGTGACTTGCTAACTATTAAAGCCAGGCTTAAGATGGCAGGTAGGTTGAGGGTGGGAGGTGGCAATGGGGGGGGGGGGGGGGGAATGAGGGAGATCCCCCTCCCCCCCCAACAGCTGTTGCTGTATTTTTCTCTGATTTTATGGATAATCACTTCCTACAAGAGCTCCCCAATATTCTTTCCCAGTCATTCACAATTTGTACTGTTCTGCCAATTTTGTTTCTATTTGAGTGTAGGGATGAGTGGGGATATGCCAGGTATCAATTTAAGGTAGGTTTGTTGAATGCTGATTGGAGGGAAAGGACACCCCTCCCTTCACACAGCACACAGGAGCAGAGCTGAGGCTGTCACTCAACGGCTGTGTGCTGGAGCTCCCTCCCTTCAAACTTTTTTTTTTTTTCTTTTTCCTTGGTGTGAAGAATATTTGTCAGAAGTGACTATAGCAGAGGAGCAAGGCAGCAGACAAAAATTACACTTAGTGCTCTGGAAAGGGTATATACTGGAGCATTTTGTGGAATGGTGAGAACAGATCCTCCATTTTTCCCCTCTTGTGGATCCAAAAGGGTGGTCACTCAATAATGGCCCCTTTTTCATGCCCCAAAATTCTGTTTTAGTACAGATATTTCAGTGGAAAAAAAAAGCGCATTTGCCAAATATTACCTGCAGCAGAGAGACCCCCAGAGTCCTTATTGTTGCTGAGGACAACAGTGACCTAAGTGATCTCTCCCCCTACCCACGTGCATCTCTCAGGGTTTGATTACAGTCTGTCTACATGGACACATAGGATAGCATGCTGGGGAGTTTACTGGCTGTAGAAAAAAACATCAAAAGCCAAAAACAGTAGCTGTAAAAACGTCCAGTGTGCATAAGGACTTAATCTCTGGCCCATTGTTTCTCCTGGTCACCAGGCATACCAGCTGCAAAACAGCATAACTGTGTTTGCCTGGGCTGTTGGGACACCTGAGGTTGGGACAGGGGTTCTGAGGAGTCGGAAATGATGCCATTGAGAAGGAAGGGGTACAAGTAACTGTGCAGTAAGTAGCACCAGAATACAGAGTGGCACTACCTGCCTCACTGGTATGCTTGGTCCAGCATTCTTCCCAACTGCCTTCTAAATGACCCAGTGTGCTGTGAAGAATACGTTGCATCATTACCCTTGCTTGCTGGACCATCTGTGGTCATGTGGATCCTACTGACACATTACCCTTCACATGCTGGTGCAGGGCATTTTATGCCTTTTGGGCAAAATAATGGCAGGTGGGATGTAGCAAGGGCCAGATCTTGTAGGATAGGTCCTGTTTGACGAGCTGTAATGGGAGCAGCTGCAAAGCCAACATTTTAAAAACTACCATTGAGATGCTGGGTATCGGGGGATTCAAGCAGACTTTTTTTTTTTTTTTTTCTGCTGCAGCAGCTGCTGAAGAGAGACCTGATTGATGCAGGATGCTGATGGAGACAGTGGTATTGGAGACTTATGAAGAGTTTTAAGCCTTTTGCGTGACCCTACTTGGTCTAGCCTCTAAAACATCCCTTTCAATCTCTAAAGATGATGCTGCGGATGCAGCTGGGGAATTTTGTGGATGAGGGTAGAGATGAAAAGTGAAAAATGAGGAGGAGCTTTTGCTGCCGACTTGTATCATTGAGGTGCTGCTCCAGCTGAGCATAGTGGAGCAGATAAAAGTAGAAGAAAAGCCTAACTATAACTATTCTTAAAAATATCTCCCCTTTTTCTGCTGTATAACTTGACTGTACTTTTCTATCCTCAATCTGCTGTAGTCATATGATCCCACAACTCTGGCTTCCTGTATCAGTGAGCGTCTGCTGCAGGGGAGAGGAGGGAGTTCCGTCAATGGTTGGGCCATGTGCCTATGGGTTATGTCACGGCTCCTGGGATTCCCAGCCATTGTCAAGCACTACTTTACACAGAGCTGCAGGATTACATGACTGGAGCACAGTCAAAAATAGGTACACACACCTTTTCATATACAGGTCAGGCAAAGTAGGTAGGAGGAGGGGGGAGGGAACATTTTTAAAATCAAGGTTTCTTCTACTTTGTGTCTCCTCATGCAGGTGGTACCCAAGTTGCTGGTAGTTGTACCACAGCTTGTATGTTTTAGGCAATGTCTCCAGACCTCAAAGGTGCTTTAGGCAGCAGATGTTTTAAAAATAGACACAGAAGGCAGAGCTCTGTGGATTGGCCATGAGGAAAGCAGTAGCCTGTACCTGTGGGGCAGTGTATTCTGGTGAAATAGGAAAGCTGCACCCTCTGGTCCTCTGCCAGCTGCACCATTATCTGGACAAAATTATCCCCTACTGTTTTTGCCTCTTTTGCTCTTCCTCTCCAATATCTGGCAACTGTGCATGGGAGCCCACTTGGTGGTAAGCTGCAGGAATATCTCTGCCTCCTGCTGCTCCCTGCTTGATGCCTCCTTCTATTGGTTTTGGTGCTCTTTCTTCTTCATCTTCAATATCTGAAACTAGGAATTCTTGTACATGACCAAGATCCTCCTCCTGCAGCAAGTGACTCATTGTGTGAAGAAACCATTTCATTGACTCCTCCAGGCTAGTTATGTGGGGGTATGGCAGGAGGAGGAGGAAGAAGAGGGTGCATCAGCAGCAGTTGCAGACTGCTAGCATGAACTGAGTGATTTTCAGGCAGTTATACTCAATTGGTGCTCCTGTCAGCCCTCTTGCATTAGACAAAAGTTTTTGGGCCACACAGTGGCTGCATACAGACAAATGCCGCTGCTGCTTGGGAATTTTGACAGCCACCACTAACCGCTAAGCTACCTGACCTAAGTTCAGAGGCCAGGTTATTGTTGGTATAGTTGCTATGGCAGTAAAATTGAGCATTAGTTTGCAGTGTCTGCAAACTGCAAATGGGTTGAGTTCACTTTAAATCCATGCTTGGCCTGAACCTTGTTCCTATTTGCCAATTTGAGATATGGCTTTTTCATTTAAACTATCCCTTAATGGCGAAGTCATCTCTCACTGTTTTCTTTCTGGAATATTTGCCACATTCTCCTTCAGTCATTCTGTATAAACCTATGAACTGCAAATGAACCAAGAGCTTGTCTCATGCTGGTCTTTTTCCAGACATAGTAGCTCTCTTTTTAGTTTTCCTTTAAAAACATTAATGAAATTGCTATGCTTTTTCCTAGCTTCCTAGTAACACTACTATGTGTTCTAGTGTGCTGTGTTGGAAAACATGCTACAGATCCATTTTTATGGCCTCTTCCTTTTGCATTTGAAGCACATTCAAAATAAATGAACTGTCTTAACGCATTGCCCATTAATGCAACACACTGGGATGGAGACGTGTTATCCCGGTCTGTCACCTAACAAGCTCCTGTGGTTTAACCCGTTGCTAAAAGGATTCAATTATTTATGTTTTATCATGTATGGATCTTCTCATGGTGTTTAACTGGCTGTTTAGCAGTGGCACCTATATATCTTTTCTACAATTACAGCATGCCTTTGTAATACTGCACACCGTGTACTGGCTGTCTAAGATTGTGGCACACAGTTTGACATCAAAGTTGACTTAAGTACGCTGCTATAAAACATAAAAAGGATGTACCAAATAAAAAAGGGTTTAGAAGCCTATTATAGTTTTCTGGGGCTGTCCGTTGTTGTCCATAGTCATTAAATTTTTTTTTTTAACCCTTTTGTGCTTTAAAAGTGTATGTTCTGTAAGTCAGTTGCCTAAAGAAGGGGCCCTGCGTGGCTCCGAAACATTGCCTTATGTATGCCATGTGACCAGGAGAATAAAGCTTTGGATCCTCTTGAATCCTTGGTGTGCTGGTGATGTCTCTTCACCTGTATGTCCACAGACACACAAAAACCACACCCTGTACGCCCTCCTCTCCCTGCTCTTAGGATTTGATCACCGGCTCCTGCGGTTATCGGTGCAGCCTGTGAAAGTATGGAGAGGGGAGAGAAGAACTGCAGCCAGTCACAGTGCTCGAAATACATGAAAACAGATGTAGGATGTACATTTACACATTAGTAGACTCATGGGATAGCTTAAGCACTGACCAGCAGAATTGATAAATAAACTTAATTGCTATTTTCAGGTATCCCAAAATATGTACTGTACATTGACTATACCTTGCTTGGGTATGGTGTTGGTTTCCAGTTGAATTTTTTTAATTTTTATTTTTAGAACAGGATTTGTTATACTGTTCATTCAGACTTGGGATGTGCACACGTGTTGCACTGCACAGCCAGGTATTTCTTAGATCAGCAACATCATTACTCCTGACTAGTTTTGCAGTGAGGTGAACCAAGTAATAGATACATTTATTTATTTTTCCTATTTGCCTGGCTTTAAGTACATTATATATCATTGTTTCACTATTATTTTAGGAACACGCCTACTAATTGGATCAAGCAGCCTACAGCTATGGTCCAGTACTTCTTTGGAAAAGCTATCCAATGAGGACTGTCAGGAAAACACAGATACAGACTTTGCAAACTGGAAATGTGTCTGGCAGTGCAGGTAAATATATGTGCAGTGTAACCCGCATGTATGTTATGTACAGAGGAGCATCCCATGAAATTGCTATTGATGATTTTTGCTAAAAGTTGATAATTGTGCAAGCTTCTTCCCCAAATGGACAACATGAATCAGTATTTCCATATGCCACAGAAGTAAATACATTATGTATATTCATCCAAATGCTGTAGTTACATGGTGACAGAATGCACCAACAAATGTTGACAGGTTTTACCAACCGAGCTGTTCAGTTTTTTTCCAGGCTTGTGGTCAGTTTTTCATTGCAACAAGGCCTATTCTGCTGACATGAGCTCTCCAGCAGTTTGGTCTTAGATTTGCCTTTGGGTCAGTATGCCAATTTGTTTGGTTTCTTTTGAGCTCATGGGTTTTCTCTAGAGAAATAATGTTAAAACACAATTAGTAGATTATTTGTGTCACATACTCAATCTTTTTAACATTTCATCTTTCAGAACAGCGTTTTCTGTACATTTAATGAAATTTTCCCCAGATGGAGAATTTTTTGCTACTGCTGGAAAGGTAATTAGCACATTATGTGCATTTTTATTATGTAAGGAAAGTATACTTGTCTTTTTACCTATGTAAGAAGAGTAAACCACTTCCCTTTTTGGTCTTATGCACACTTCAGCTCAAAGAAGCTGCTTCTAAAGGAGTTTCAGCTGTTTTCAGCTTTTATTTTATTCTACCTGTAAACTCCCCTCCATGTTAGCCTGGTTGTCCATGCACACTATAGGAGTTTTCAGGAATTTAGTGGCAGGGAAGTTTACAGGCAGAAAAAAAAACATCACTTTTGCGTTCAGGAGAGGAGCTTTTGAGCATAAAAAGAAATGCTCAAAAGTGAAAAAATGCGCATCTAGCTAATAGAGTGCATTAACGCCAGATGCGTGAACAGCATGCAGATTTGCGAAAACTCCTTTTTGTGGGAAAATTATTTTGAGCTTCACTGTGCATGAGACCTTATATTGTACTTTGTATCTATCTGTCCCCTAGTTGTCTCTCCTGTATAACAAAGTCTACAGTTACTCTAGCCAGTGTTGAGGAAAACTAATCCAAAGGACTGTGATCAATATCAAAAAAGGTCTTCTCTTTTCAGTCATTTCAATCTTATTTTGTCATGCAAGTATTTGTATCACTGCAGCTGTCGGCAGAATACTAATCTCTATGCTGTGCTGATAAGATGTTTTATTCTCATGATCCTTCTTTTCTTTACCTGCATGCTATTATTGATCTCTTCCCACAGGATGACTGCCTGGTTAAGGTTTGGTACAATACTGAAAGCTGGCACTCTGCAGTTACGTCTCCTGTTACAAGTCCAGAGAAAGAAGGTCAAGGAGAAGTAGACTTTTCTTTCATCTATCTTGCTCACCCTAGAGCAGTAAATGGATTTTCATGGCGAAAAACTAGTAAATTCATGCTCCGGTCAGTACTTTCTGTGAAGCATATTGTTTTGGTAATACCATATCTGATTCATTTTATGGTGTACAGTGGATATAAAAAGTCTACACACCCCTGTTAAAATGTCAGGTTTCTGTGATGTAAAAAAAAATTAGACAAAGATAAATCATCTCAGAACTTTTTCCACCTTTAATGTGACCTATAAACTATACAACTCAATTGACATAAACACATAAAAAACAAAAAAAATGTGGTTGAATAAGTGCGCACACTTTCTTATAACTGGGGATGGAGCTGTGTTCAGAATTAAACAATCACATTCAAAATCATGTTAAATAGGAGGCAGTACACACCTGCCATCTTTAATGTGCCTCTGATTAACCCCAGATAAAGTTCAGCTGTTTTAGTAGGTCTTTCCTGACATTTTCTTAGTCACATCCGACACAAAAGCCATGGTCTGCAGAGATTCATGCTGCCGCGGTTTTCACGTCCCTCCCAGATTGCGTCAGATTACCAGTCAGTACACCAGTAATCGCATTTAACCCCTTGATTGCCAGAAACATGCTGATACACAATAAACCTCCATTGCTAGTATAGTGTCTGAACGTATCAATATCTTTGATCAGATCAGCACTATACCAGCGTTCACATTAGTATAGTGTCCCACAAAATGCAGTGTTAGCGGGATCAGCCCCAGCACCTGCCAGCACTTGCATTTAGCCCCTATACTTACTCCCCCTCCCTTCTCCTCCGGCAAGTGCAGTGTCAGTAGGTCACTGCCACTTGATACATTGCACACAGAACCAAAGTGTTTGCCTGATCTCTACAAGCATTTGCCGGTAAGTTTTTATGACTCTCATATGCAGCAGAGTGCCATTACTAGAGCCGCTCTACCTTTTGGTGAACCGGCGAGCACCAGTGGCCTAGTACATCCTGGTCTTTCACATACCTCTTAGATTGTAAGCTCCAAGGAGCAGGGCACTCCTAACCCTCTTGTATTGAACTGTATTGTTGCTGTATTGCCTCCCGTTATGTTGTAAAGCGCTGAGCAAACTGTTGGCGCTATATAAATCCTGTATAATAATACCATAATACCAGCACTGCAGTACGACTTGGTAATGTGTGCGAGTCCCATAAGTGCAGTACAAGCTGGTGCGGTGGCAAGCACAAGTATTGTCCCGCAACCACCAGGAATTCTCACACAGGCCCGTAGAGCCCATAGTATCCTTCCGGATGTGCTTGCAAATCCCAATTGGCAGCCCACAAATTCTGCAGCACCCTTACTTCCCCCATTCACTGCCCAACCCGGTATTCAGGTGGAAACAACTACTCGCCTTGATTTTTTTTTTTTTTAAACTGTTTTTCACAGAAGATCTGTATGCACTGATTGTGGATCAAAGCAATTTATATGCACAACAATTATCGCCGCCAACCCACATTCAAACCTTGCCAGACCATTTGCATGGAAACCCAATATGGTTTCCGAATTTAAATATTTTTTGGGCCTAACCTCAACATGGGCATTACTGAAAAAAAATTAATTGCGTTTGTATTGGTCCACAGACCCGATTCATCATATGCCGTGTTCTCTGCTGCCATGGCCAGACATAGATATGAGAGTATAATGTGTTTTATACATTTCAATGACAATACACTCTGTTGTCCTCAGGGTGACCCTGAATTTGACCGGCTCCACAAAATTCGGTCCCTTGTAAATCACCTTAACCAAAAATTTGCAGGTGTCTATACTCACCAGCAAAACATCTACGTTGATGAGTCCCTCAATTTTTCTGGCCGCTTTGCATTCAAACAATTTCTCCCCAGCAAGTGTGCCAGATATGGGGTCAGCATGTATAAGACCTGTGAGAGGGCAACAGGCTATACATATAAGTTTCAGATTTAAGAGGGAAAAGATAGTCACGTGGAGCCCCCTGAATGCCCAGACTACATGGGGAGTAGTGGCAAGATAGTTGGGACTTGGTGTCATCCTTTTTTCTATATGGTGTACCATTTATACGTGGACAATTTTTATTCAAGCATGCCACTATTTAGACATTTGTACAATCTTGGAATTGGCGCATGTGGCACCGTGCGACCTCATGTGTGCCCACCATTAGAAGTGGGTGGATGCAGGGTGATACATTCTAATGGTGGGCATACCACACACTTTTTCTGGCAAAGAACATCGCATATATACCCAGCAAGGACCAGCGACGGTACATCACTGGACTTTGAATGATTACAGCTGCAGGCATCATCCTGGTATTGTTTTTTTCAGCTGGCGATCAGCTTTCATGTAAAAGCAATCCTAGTGGATAATTAGCTGCAGGATTGCTTTTACAAGCAGCGGGAGACTGTGCCCCCCCTCCCCCCATGGTCTTCTCGGGTAGTCCCGTGCCACCAGGGGAACCTGAGAATGCAGCCAGTGTTTCTGCCAGCTGACCATAGAGCTGGTTGGAGACCGGAATGGTGCCAATCATCTCTATAGTCCAAGAAATTGGAAGCTACCATCATTTCATCACTTCAGTTTCACAGGATATAAAGAGCGCCATTTGTAAATTGGGAAAGCATCTGATCACACCGATCTTGGTTTGATTAGATAATGTAAGGGCAGAGGAGATGTCTAGAGTCTGATAGACCCCAGATTTCTCAAAAAAGAATATATGACAATGCCCATTGAAGTTATAGGGGATATTTTCATTCCCTGTGATAGCATTAAAAGTGATTAAAAAAAAAAATAAATTAAAGGGACAGTGTAAAAATAATTTACAAAATATCAAAATAACTTAAAAAAAAGAACCCTCAACCCCCCCCCCCCCCCCCACGCATGTAGACCTGCGTGCGCGAGCGTTGACCCTGTGTCTGTATGTAAACAGCGGTTGCACCATGCATGCGCGGTATCCCTGTGAATGTCAGATCAAGGGCAGTAATTCTAGAACTAGACCTCCTCTCTAAATCTAAAAAGGTAGCTTGTAAAGGCTTTTAAAATGTATGCAGTTTGTCACCATTGCACGGGGCATGCGCAGTTTTAAAGCATGTTATGTTTGATATCTATTTACTCGGCATACCATCCTCTTTTATATTTTACAAAACAATTGGCCAATATTTTGTGGTTTTGTGCATTAAAAGTAAAAACAAGTGTGTTTTTTTTTTTTCATTTGCGTTTGAAAAATCGCTGCGCAAGCACTACGTGACATAAAAATTTGCAGCACCCCACCATTTTATTCACTAGGGTGTTTGCTTTAAAAAAATATATAATATTTGGGGGTTTAAATTAATTTCCTAGCAAAAAATACTGAATTTTTTTTTTTCCATGTGAACAAAAAGTGCCAGAAAAGGCTTGATCTTCAGGTGGTTAGATGGTGGAGTAATGTGTGGCATAAACTTCTAATGCTGGGCATGAAATGCCCCACCCCCCAAAACAACCCCTTTTTGGAAAGTAGACACCCCAAACTATTTGCTGAGAGGTATGTTGAATCAATAGAAGAATTTATTTCTTTACCACAAATTTTTGGAAAATGACAAAAAAAAAAAAATCTTTTTTTTTCACCCAAAATTGTCTCTTAAATGATTTATTGCTCACACATGCCATGGGTATATGTGGAATTACTCCCCAAAATACATTCTGCTACTTCTCCCGAGTATGGGGGTACCATATGTGAGAGACGTTTCGGCAGTCTAGCCAAGTACAGGACCCCAAAATCCAATAGGCTCCTTCAGGCTTTGAAAGGTCTTTATTTCCTCATTACACTTCCTGACGACCTATCACAGTTTCGAAGGCCCTGAAATGCCAGGATAGCACCAACACCCCCCCCCCCCCCCCCCAATAACCCCTTTTTGGAAAGTAGACACCCCAAGGAATTTGATAAGAAGCATCGTGAGTATTTTGCAGATCTCGTTTGTTGCCACACACGTTTTTGGAAAATGAAGAAAGGAAACAAATATTTTTTCTTTATTTATATTTCAAAACCTTGTGAGAAAAAATTATATCTGCAAAATACTCACCTCCTTCTTAAATTCCTCGGGGTGTCTACTTTACAAAAAGGGCTCATTTGGGGTGGGGTGGGGGTTGGTGCTATCCTGGCTTTTCAGGGCCTTCGAAACTGTGATAGGTAGTGAGGAAGTGAAATGAGGACGTTATGCACCTTCAGGCTTTCTAAGTGGTCATTGGATTTCAGGCTCCTGTATGTGGCTTCCAAAAAGTCTCACACATGTGGTATCTCCATACTTGGTAGAAGTAGCAGAATGTATTTTGGGGTGTAATTCCACATATACCCACATATAACCATGGCTTGTGTGAGAAATATATCATTTAAATGACAACTTTGTGTCATTTTCCAGAAACTTGTGGGAAAAAAAAAATATTCCATAGACTCAATATGCCTCTCATCAGATAGCTTAGGGTGTCTACTTTCCGAAAAGGGGTCATTTGCGGGTGTTTGTACTGCCCTTGTATTTTAGCACCTCGAGAAATGTGATGGGCAGTCAGAAAGTAAAAGCTGTGTAAATTCCATTATCTATACCATAGTTTGTAGATGTTATAGCTTTCACACAAAGTACTAAATATACACTTATTGGGATTCTTCAAAAATTTTCTGTTTAACATTAGCACCAAAAATAAAAAGCGCACAGGTGTTCAAATACCACCAACAGAAAGCTCTATGTGTGTGAAAAAAAAACTATGAATTTCATTTATGTACCGTATTGCATGACCGGTGCAGATTTGCAATTGTCAGTTAAACTAGTGCAGCTCTGTATAGCAAAAAAAAAATGGTGCAAATTGCAGTAATCTATACCATAGTTTGTAGACGCTAGAACTTTCACACAAAGTGAAAATGCCATCTCATCAGATAGCTTAGGGTGTCTACTTTCCGAAAATGGGTCATT